GGCGGAGGGGGGGGACATGGACACCGCAGGAAAGGAGCGCGAGGCCGTGCAGCTGATGGCGGAGGCCGAGAAGCGAGTCAAGGCCTCCCACTCCTTCCTCCGCGGGCTGTTCGGGTGAGCGCCAGGTCGCGCGCCGAAGGGGTCTCCTTTTCGCCCCCGGACCCGCCTGGTGGCCTTCAGCCCCGAGCACCCAGAGATCCTGTGGGGCCACCAGCTCCCGCCCCTGGACCCTGTCGAACCCCCGGAGGACCCCGGCACGTCCCCTGGGTCCTTCGGCCCCTTCGTGCCCCTCCGGCGCACCCTTCGGAGACCCCGCAGCCCCGAGCACGCCCTCCCTGCCTCCCAGGACAAGCCCGCAACCCCACGCGCCAGGTCATCCTGCAGGGCCCCCAAGCGCCCCTCGAAGTCCCCGGAGCGTCGCAGGGGCCTTCAGCCCCCTCCCACCCGTCGGTGACCCCTTAGGGTCTGCAGTGCCCCCGAGGCACCCCTTGACACCCCAGAACGGTTCCTGGGTGCCCGCGCCCGGTGCGCTCGGGAGACCCTCGCGCTGGTGCAGGGGTCCACGGCCTCGCCACGTTTGAGCCCGCCTCGCTCGGACTCGGACCCGCATCCGGACCCGGGTGTCGGGGTGTGGCGTGCCCGACGGGGAACCGGGCAGTGGGGAGGACCCCGCCCGCATCTGGTTAGGGTGTCCGGGGCGTCGGGCGGCGCGCCAGGACCCCGCACCCCCGGGGGATACCGTGCGTTTTCTCGGCGTAGTAGTTTTCCCTAGGCGTGATTACCGCCCAGGCCTCCTGCGTGATTTAACGGTAACGCAGCTCCTGTTCAGGCCGTGTCTTTGGGGACTCCGCTCATTTCCTGTAATTCTTCGGCGATCTCCTGGGAAAGGGTTGAATTCGGACCTCTCAGAGAGCAGAGCCTGCACTGACAGCGCCGGAGGAATGCTGGGCTGTGGATATGTGAATGATTCAGCTGTTTAGGGTGAGAGGCAGAAATTCCCTGTCTGCCGCTTCCTTCCTCTCCCTTTGGAAAGTGAAAAGCCCTCTGCTGTCGTCGGGAGCTGGTTTTTATTCTCGAGAAGGACCAGTGGTAGATGCTTACCCATTGCATTATTCCACTTTTATTTCTGTACAAATCCACCTTGGACTCGTAGTTCAGGAAGCTCCCGTAATGGGCTCCGGACTGCTTTTGCCAACTTCATTCTTTTGGCTAGAGATTATACTTTACCATTCCTGAGACATCTCGAGGAAAGGCTGAAGGGCGAGTTTCTGGCAGTGCACAGTGGTGTGGGCTGCAGAGAGATGCCAAAGAGAGGGTCTCTGTCCTCGGAGCCCCTCAGAGTGTCATCACAGTGCTTTCTGAACTCCTGATGCGGTGTGTCGCTGAACCATACAGCTGTCAATTCTACATTTTGTTTCCCCCATAGAATTAGGACCATCTATAAGGAACACTGCCTAGTACTCTGTGCTAACTCCAACCAGTAACTCCTCCCGATTCACAAAACATTGAAAATTCATTCAGATAAAATGTAATGTCATAGCACCTCCTGCCAGGAGGTGATCTCAATGTCACAACATATTTCAAGTAAGGATGTGGTTCCCTAGAAGAGAGTCTGAATCTGGCAGAAGAAAAAGCATGTCAGCATTTGATGCTTGTCTCTGGGGAACATGTGCTTCACACAGGCAAGAATTATTTGGTGAAAGAGGTGTTTCCTTGTTTTTAGGAAACTTGGCCAAATCTTGAGCCAGTCATCCTAAAAGGATTTTCAAGAATCTTTTTTGTAAAGAAACATCTCTTGGAGCATGGGTACCCTCAGTCATTGACAGCTCCTGTAGTTTCTCTGTGCCTCGGTTTCCTCTGCTGTAAGAGGGCTAGCAGTGATACACGTCACAGTCACCGTTGGTAAAACATTTAGAACTGAGAGTGTTGGAGATAACCACTGTGAGATGTTAATTAGCATATCCATCAAAACTGTCACATATCGGGGGAGCAGAGGGCCAGACAGGTGACATGACCTTTTCAGGATTCCAGAGCAAAAGATATTTTGGAGTGGTTCATTGGTCTTTTAACAAAATAAAATATGTATCCAAAAGCTCTTTGAACCAGTTGAGGTCCTGGGCAAATGTTTATACTATGATGCTGTGTTATTTCCACTAATATTTGGCTGGAGGAAAGCTTGAGGGAAGGAGACTCGCAGCTGTTGAGGTTTAATATTATATAATTATCTGAGGCAGGAAATCCAGACTCAGTTTTTGTGAGTTTCCAGAGAAGACTAAGATTTTCTATCAGTTTTGAATGTTTGAACCCTAACTTACTTGCTAGTGTCATCACTCGGACCCATCATCACCTTTCTAGACATGTTCCTCTACCCTGCCCCCCCACCGCCACCTTATCTATAGAATTGCTCCATTTTTGTTCCCAATGTTCTGTGTGTTATCCTGTATTTAAAACAGTGTAGCCATCTCCCTGTCTGAATCCTCAGTTAGCACAAAATTAACAAACATGAGGATCATTGGCACCCACGTACTTAATTGCTGATCACTAGTGGCTTTTGGGGGACAGGTGATGGCTGTTGTGAATCTGTGGTGGGCCATGACAAGGTGCCTGGTATATTGTAGATACCGCACATCGCAGACTCTGGATATCCTAATGCAGATTAAAGCCTATGGGTTCACCTTCCCCAGTCCCTTCCCCACTCAGCGCCTATTTACCAACCACACTGGTTTTGTGGCAAAACTATTTTCAGTACTGCGCTTTGGCTCTTGCTTTTTTTCTTGCTTTTGGTAAAATAAGATGAAAATAGACACACATATTCAGAAGAGTCAGTCAGATGTTTCTTGTGCATGTAAGGCACGTCCCATGCTTTGTCTACTAGGTAGCAAGGCTTCAATCTTTTCCAGAAGACCTTGCCTCCTCTTGTGCCCACATTGCAAAAAGCAGTGTTACTCTGTTCTGTTTTTCTGCTTGACTGCAGGTTAAACAGTGATGTGTTTTTGTAGTTGTGAAATTAAACCTTACATCTTAAGAAGGGCATAGTGTAGTATAGTAAAAGTATTACCAAGAGTCGTGTTGTCATTTCGTTGCCAGAGATGAGCTTATCAAACTTTGTAATTAATTTCAAATTCCAATTTAGAATCTTAACTGCTAATATTATCTATTATCTTAAACTGGCCTGAGTCTGACAGCAAGACAGTTTTAAATTGCAAAGGTCTCTTACTATCCTCTCCATATGGTTGCTAGGACACCACAGATTAGGAGTAACCTATAAAATTCACATTGAAGAAAATGATGCTTACAAATGTTAGTGGGAAGATATTCTTCATGGCCAATATCACATTCTCTTGCTTTTCTTTTCTTTCTTTTTTTTTTTTTTTTGGAGGGGTTTTTGCTTTTGGCGGCGTG